TCAGAAGTCAACTTCCGATTTATAGACTTTTTTGCCGCATGAGTATACATTGCCCAGGCTGCACCACGTGGAGGTAAGTCAATCGCACACCCCATGTTTTCAAGATATTAAACCAAAGAGGTCAATTTTCTGTTTGAAAAATGATAATAAATGGCTATCCGGGAACTTCGTAAAAAGTCCAAGTGGATTCTAGGAGGGGGGTGGTGGGCACATATTTATACCACAGAGCATTTTATTGTGGAAGCCATAACCGTGGGTAGGTAACCATAAGCACCAAATAGTTAGGTAGAGCCAAGTAAGTACTCACCAGAACCCGGATGCCTGAACGACACATCTACGCCTTTGAGGTGATTTTATTCAAAGCGGCCTGTAAACAGGGCGTAGATGTACCCTCAAGTCCTCCATTCGGAAGATATTTTATTGATTCTAATGACAAAAAATGAGTTTATGGGTAAATTTTGTGCCCCCCAACTCGTAAGCTTTTGTTTCAGGCAATGTACAATTTCTGCAATAAACGCTGCTTGGTAACCTCATTTTTTATTAATTCATATTTCAACATCGGCAAAGTCACTAAGCAGTCTTAATGATCCGCATCGTATTTCTTTTAAGTGGCAACGACGTACCGTCATTGGACAAGTCCATGCCATTTCGTTTCTGTTTACCCAAAGGCCTAAAAGCGCTAGATCACCTTGATGCCTATATATTTAGACGCAAATTTTCACACATTTCAGTTTGCCTACTTAGTCTAGGCTCATGCATTTGTCATTCAAGTAATTACCCCCCACCCCCCACCCCTATGTTAGTGTAGTCAGGCACAGAGTAGGATTCATACGTAATGAAATAATTGTGACAGTGTTAAAATAAAAATAAATAGCGAAGGAGGCAATGAAAGACAAAAAAGGGGATCTCAATATGCTGCCATTGCAACATATTGCGAATTAAATACGAAATTCAAGACGATTGCAGACCACTTCCTCCAACCTATTTTATCGGTCAGGTTGAAAAATTCAGAGGTCAGGTACATAATTCAGAGACCTAAGCAAGGCAGAGTTTATTTTTCAAAAAATGGAATGTGCGATAGACTTACCTCCACGTGGTGCAGTCTGGACAACGTATATTCATATGGCAAAAAGTCTATTATTCAGCAGTTGACTTCTGACCTCAAACTACAATCATCATACTGTATGTCAAGTTCGGGTGTGCGATAGACTTACCTCCACGTGGTGCACCCGGGGCAACGTATACTCATACGGCAAAAAAGTCTATTAACTGGCAGTTGACCTCTGACTTCAAGCTTCCATAACCCCACTGTATGTCATATTCGACCCCTTTCACAGTATTCATCTAGCCGTTTCTCTGCCTTTGTGTCTGTCTGTCTGTCTGTTACATCTGTGAATCGCTCTTCTTTCTCCCTGTCATATTTTTCTCACTTTAATGTTCCTCCCTTCTGTGAAGCCCGAAGTCAACTAAAGGGATAATGATAACTATCAAAATGCCTGCCATTTGAAATAAATAAATGTCGAATTCGACCACTTCAGCGGTACTCATCCTACCTTTTCTCTTTAAAGTTGTGAATCACTCTTCCCTCCTGTGATGTCCGAAGTCAGCTGAAGGTCTAATGATAACTATTAAAACGCCTGCTATTTGAAATAAGTAAATTTGTCAAAATCTCGCCAACAGCACACCTTTTAGCCCACGAGAGAGCGTAGCATCATTAATGTAAAGAATATTCACCTCCTCTCTACACACGTCCTTTTTTCCCAATTCAGAAAGAATACATTTTGTTTTAATTTGCCTCCTTGAAAACTGCGCACTTTGCTAATGTTTGTAAGATTGATAGCTATTTAGCCTGATTGACGGGCATCGATCCAATCATCGCAATTATTTAAGCCCTTGGAGACTTACTTGTTGTGTAACCTTGGGCACCGATTTTGTTTACTCTCCAGATTCCTTTCGATTTGATGAATAATTGGCTCATTCTCCGTCTGTTTTATTTTAAAAGGCCACTTACTCAAGCAGTGGTGTTTATAGTTTAAATGCTTAATCATCTCTAAACATTCAATATGATTTTATTGGGTTGGCAACTAAGTCATTGCCGTTTTTGTTGACAGATTCACTCTATACTTTCTTTCGTTTTGTTAACGTGGCCAGAGCATCTAACCTATATTTTTTTCTTACTGTATGGGCTTCTAGGTTAATTAGTAAACAATTTTTTTGTTTAGTTCTTTAGTTTTGTTTTTATCCCAATTTAAAAATGAAAGAACAGGACGTGCACTTCCGACACATTTTATTGTATTACTTCCGAAAAGGCAAGAACGCATCGCAAGCACAAAAGAAGTCATGTGCCGTATATGGAGATGAAGCCTTAAAAGAAAGGCAGTGTCGAAATTGGTTTGAAAGATTTCGTTCCGGTGATTTTCACTAAAAAATTCACAACGATCTGGCCGCCCAGTCGAAGTGGATGAAACCCATATCAAGGCCATTATCGATTCAAATCGTCACAGCACAACACGAGATATTGCAGAGAAGCTGCTCAATGTGTCGCATACATGCATTGAAAAAAAAATGAAAAACCCTTGGTTATGTCAAGAAACTTGATTTATGGATCCCTCACCAGTTAAAGGAAATTCATTTGACGCAACGGATTAGCATCTGTGATTCGCCGCTACTGAAACGCAATGAGAATGATCCATTTCCGAGGAAGAACNGCGACGAAAAGTGGATAGTTTATAACAATGTTACTCGCAAGAGATCATGGGTGAAGCAAGATCAACCAGCCCAAACAGTATCAAAAGCAGAGATTCACCAAAAAAGATTATGCTGTCAGTCTGGTGGGGGGGATCACAAAGGAATTTTGTATTTTGAACTCATGCCGCAGAACCAAACGATAAATTCAAATGTGTATGTTGAAGAACTCGAAAAAGTGAAGGATGCAATTGAAGATAAGCGGCCGGCATTATCAAATCGGAAGGGTGTTGTTTTCCATCATGATAACGCAAGGCCCCCCCCACACATCTTTGGTTACCCGGCAAAAATTATTGGAACTGGGTTGGGATGTTTTGTCACACCCACCATATAGCCCTGACCTTGCGCCTTCGGATTACCATTTGTTTCGTTCCATGCAAAACTCTTTACATGGTAAAATTTTTAACAACGCGGATGATGTCGGAGCACATCTAATTCAGTTTTTTAATAGCAAAGACCAGACATTTTACGAACGGGGAATTTTTACTCTGCCAGAACGATGGAAAAAGGTCATCGACAAGAACGGCCAATATCTAATTGAATAAAGTTATATTTTTAAACAAAAATTCCGAATTTGCCTTCTTATTTGAAATCGGCAATGACTTAGTTGCCAACTAATACATTTCATGAACAAAACTAATCGTTTCCGGTTTAGGCGTTTACTTTCCAACTTCCTGATTAGTTTGACAAGGTTTGATTTGAAAAATATATTATTTCTCAAAGCAGAAATCTCACTTGATCTGAACAACTCCTGCCAAATTTTACCCCTCTATATTTGTAAATATATGTTCTTGGGGTGTACGATAGACTTACCTCCACGTGGTGCACCCTGGGCAACCTATACTCATACAAAAAGGTCTATTATTCGGCAATTAACTTCTGACTTCAAACTACCATGACCCCACTTTTTCTCTCCCTATATGACCATCTTTCACTTTACATCTGTGAATCACTCTTCTTTCCCCCCTCTCGAATTTTCCTCACTATGATGTTCCCCCCCCCCCTCTCCTCTGTGAAGTCCGAAGTCAGCTAAAGGGCTAATGATGACTATCAATATGCCTGCCATTTGAAATAAATCAATAAATATCTTAAATGCAATATTGATAATATCTTATTTCCAAACTTCGGTTTGTGAAGAAAGGATACCTGCAGTAGGCACTAATTACATAATGTAGATTCTCGTAGAAGAACATTTGCCAATTTCTTCATCATTGATTCAGTTATAAATGCGGGGTGTGCGATAGACTTACCTCCATGTGGTGCACCCTAGGCAACGTATACTCATACGGCAACAAAGTCAATAAACCGGTAGTTGACTTCAGACTTCAAACTACCATGACCGCACTGTAGGTCATATTCCTCCACTTCCATAGTACTCATTTTACATTTTCTCTGCCTTTTTCTGTCTGTCTCTTTGAAATCTGTGAATCGCTCTTCTGTTTCCCCTCTCAACTTTTCTCACTTTGGTATTCCTTCCCACGGTGAAGCCCGAGGTCAACAAAGGGTTAATGACAACTAACATAATGCCTGTAATTTGATATAAATAAACTTTAAATAAATAAACATATTATATATTTAAATGTAAAAAATTTTAAATTCTTGTTCCATGCAGTGGTGTGGCATGAAATAATTATTCTCAAAAGTGCAAATTGGCTCCTTTTCACTAGTCGAAGGCAGTCTAAGTAAAGTGGACTTTCGAGAAGAATTTATAGACTCCTCTTTCCATTATCGAGAAAAATTCTCTTAATTTCAAATAAAGCTACGAGAAAGTTTGGCAACTGGCCATATAATCGCGGGAATTTCAAGAGATAACGGAAGTAAATTAACATTGCGTACAATGGCTTATTTTTTTCAAGTAATTTTAAGAGTTCTAGTAGGGCATCAGAAATACTCGTTACCTTTTTAAATTTAGATAAACTTTAATACAAAATCCAAGTTGTGATTAAAATAGTAAAAATTGGCCCAAATCCAGTGTCAATTCAATCACGGAGCACTCTATTCTATTCATTTTCAATTCAATTTTCTTCGTCATTTCAGATTATAAATTAAGGTAAGGACACATTGCGTATATATCTATGTACAAAAATAACCACTCCAGTTGTAAGGTAAAGCGAGTGAAGTAGAAGAAAGTTGAGTGGTTTTTCGTGTTGAAGGGAAGAGCGACACCTAGGGAAGGTCATGAAGAGAATTTGAGTAGATATGGAGATCGAATAGGAATTTGAGAGAGAGGGGGGGGAGGGAGGTTATTGGGCAATCTAAGAAGGTTTGAGCTTTGTCCATAGAGGTGGGCTATTTTGAGGCGATGTTGTGGAAGTGGAACTCGGGATGGAGTTTCTTCTTCTCTGGTTGTTAGTGAGAATAACTCGACAATCACTGGTGCCAGACACGACTTCGGCCTGTGTTGAGCATGGGATTGCACTACAGCTGCTGCTCAGTTGATTATTCTCAAGGTTCTTGGGATTTAGCCCAACGGCAAATTGAGTTATAATCTCCGAGGTCAGGAAGGCCATTGAGCGAATCGCGTTCTTCGTCACCTCCTTCCCCGATTTTGCTACTGTATTAGTGGAAAAATGGTTGTGAAATGATTACAATAAGAGGTCGAAATATGGGAACATTTTCCCATTTTATAAAGTCCACCCAAATAGTCGTAGAAATTTCACTTGGTAAACTATATTCAAGTCATGCTTAAACTCATTGACAAGCACAAAGGAACAGTACTACAATATTCGTCATTTCACATTGGTTGATAACTTTAAAAATAGAGTTTAAGTAAAATAAATTATTCAATAACTTAAGCTAAAATTTTACCGATGTAAAGATAAGATTCAATATAAGAAGCCCAATTTTAAATGGAATATCGGCTTTTACGTGAAGGCAGAATTCAGCATTAATAAATGAACCTATGAGGAATCCCAATTGAATATAATTAACGGGAGTAATGGGCGAATATTTTGATTAAAATTGTATATAGTTTTGCAATTGGTCTTGTTAGGTAGTGACTAAACTACTATTTTGTCACGAAATTCAGTTATAAGCTATCGTAAGAGGAAAATGAGTTAAATATCTTATCTAAATATTACCGAATTCATCAATTTTATGAACAGACGCTTATTTTAAAAGTGGAAAGCACTTGGTTGGATTTAGGGACTTTTGCTTACAATTAAAATTTGATAAAATATACATTCATCGCAACTTTGTTTTAACTACGATAAAAGCTACCTGACCCCCCATCTTGATTTAATTTTTTTGCTCTTGCATTTTAAATAGAATTTCTTGATAAATTATTACTAGATTTCATGAGTAAACGAATTGTGCTGTTATAAATTATGCGAAGAAAATTATTCCTTCTGGAAGAATTTGCTCTCGAAATAATTTGATTCGTGCGCAATAATCTTGTTTTTTTGTCATAGTAAAATTACCGCTTCTAATTAAGTTGGGCAAATTAACTTAATCAATTTGGCATTAAAAATTATCAATGGGAAAAGCAACTCTTCACTGATATTGTTTAAATAATTAGACTTTTGGAGAGTTTTATAAGATGACTATTGACATAATTACTTTAATTAATCACCAGCAGTATTTGGCAATTCACTTATATTCTTCTTGCAATTAAACTATTAATTGAAATTATTCTAAAATTGATTGACTCTGAATTAATTTGTTTTTTTTTCCAATGATTTAGAAAATTAGAGGATGCAGCGTTTTGGAGATTAATAAAATTAAGGCAACCATTTATATACAATGATATTTTAATAAGGTGGTTAAAATTTGGCAAAATATTTATGGCAATTATGTTTCTCCGGAATATAAGAGAGATTGAATCGATGAAACCACTTTGACAAAATTACGTTAGACTCGCAAGGTTTTAATAGCCTTCAGCGAGGGCTATACAAACATTGCCTCACTTCTACACATGTATTATTATCTTTGGAAAGATTTATTTTCTCTGAGTGCTTCTTCCTGAAGGTCACATTCATATTTCTTTGAATTGACATTTCATAAAGAGGTCTTGCTTGCTGATCAGCAACACTCCACACTATCAGTTGTGGTCAATTTTGGCTGTCAAGTCACATTAAAACAAGCATTAAATGTTCCATGCATTCGATAATGTGTAATAATCGACATGGCTAATAACATTTAATGTTCTCAAAGAGGGGTTTATTTTTAATTCTCCGAAGCAAATAAAACCCTTATTAAATTCACTGCAATTACAAAACAAAAGAGTTCTTGAAAGCAAAGCTTTGTCAATTAAATTAAATGCAATTTTTATGAAAATGTCTTTAAATAAATTAAATATAAAATATGGATAAGAAGTGGGGTTAGACGGAAAAAAAGACATTAAAATAAAATCGCTTTAATTTGATTAATAGATGATTCTATTAATAAAACGAATAAAAAGACTAAAGTTACAATTTAAAACAATAATATAATATACGGATATAAGCAGAGTGTTTCCCTGTCGGGATTATTCTCAAAGTACTCAAAGTTAAAAGACTTTTTTTCTAGATTTAGAAATGTGTCGATTTTTCAATATTTAATCGATGATACAATTAATTGAGTTTGTTCAAAATTGAATTTATCAATACTTGTAATATTAGGTTGGCAACTACGTCATTGCCGATTTCAAATAAGAAGGCAAATTCGGAATTTTTGTTTAAAAATATAACTTTATTCAATTAGATATTGGCCGTTCTTGTCGATGACCTTTTTCCATCGTTCTGGCAGAGTCAAAATTCCCCGTTCGTAAAATGTCTGGTCTTTGCTATTAAAAAACTGAATTAGATGTGCTCCGACATCATCCGCGTTGTTAAAAATTTACCATGTAAAGAGTTTTGCATGGAACGAAACAAATGGTAATCCGAAGGCGCAAGGTCAGAGCTATATGGTGGGTGTGACAAAACATCCCAACCCAGTTCCAATAATTTTTGCCGGGTAACCAAAGATGTGTGGGGGGGGCCTTGCGTTATCATGATGGAAAACAACACCCTTCCGATTTGATAATGCCGGCCGCTTATCTTCAATTGCATCCTTCACTTTTTCGAGTTCTTCAACATACACATTTGAATTTATCGTTTGGTTCTGCGGCATGAGTTCAAAATACAAAATTCCTTTGTGATCTCACCAGACTGACAGCATAATCTTTTTTGGTGAATCTCTGCTGCTTTTGATACTGTTTGGGCTGGTTGATCTTGCTTCTTCACCCATGATCTCTTGCGAGTAACGACATTGTTATAAACTATCTACTTTTCGTCGCCAGTAACTAGGTTCTTCCTCGGAAATGGATCATTCTCATTGCGTTTCAGTAGCGGCGAATCACAGATGCTAATCCGTTGCGTCAAATGAATTTCCTTTAACTGGTGAGGGATCCATAAATCAAGTTTCTTGACATAACCAAGGGTTTTTCATTTTTTTTCAATGCATGTATGCGACACATTGAGCAGCTTCTCTGCAATATCTCGTGTTGTGCTGTGACGATTTGAATCGATAATGGCCTTGATATGGGTTTCATCCACTTCGACTGGGAGGCCAGATCGTTGTGAATTTTTTAGTGAAAATCACCGGAACGAAATCTTTCAAACCAATTTCGACACTGCCTTTCTTTTAAGGCTTCATCTCCATATACGACACATAACTTCTTTTGTGCTTGCGATGCGCTCTTGCCTTTTCGGAAGTAATACAATAAAATGTGTCGGAAGTGCACGTCCTGTTCTTTCATTTTTAAATTGGGATAAAAAAAAACTAAAGAACTAAACAAAAAAAATTTTTTAATAATTAACCTAGAAGCCCATACAGTAAGAAAAAAATATAGGTTAGATGCTCTGGCCACGTTAACAAAACAAAAGAAAGTATAGAGTGAATCTGTCAACAAAAACGACAATGACTTAGTTGCCAATCCAATAACTATTACTTACATGTTGGTCGACAGAAAATCAGCTGTTCTCTTGGCACACCTAATTCCACGCACATACTCTCCAAACTTTCAATATGCTTCTAAAATAAGTAGAAAGAGGTCACCAAAGCGCTAGCAATTCAAAGTTTAAATTTAAAACAATCCATACCTCCAAAATAATGATTTTACCATTGAGGGCTTCCACCTTGAGCTCCGATATACGACGAGCTCTTTTCTGCAATTGTATTCGAAACTCATTTCTTTGTTTCTCATGCATCAGTAAGCCTAAAATATATTTTGAAAAAACTGTCAAGATAAAACCGCACTATTTTAATCATTACTTGAAGTCAATAAGAAGGATCGATCGAACGTAGATTCAATTAATGTCTGTTTTCAGGTTTCGTTCTCTTTTTTTAATGCTTTAAAGGAGTAAAATGCTACTGAGATTTTGGATTTAAAGTTCTATTGACTCTAGGATCATTATACTAACATCATTGGCAAAGTTTATAAATAACAATTTTATCCATGATTACTCCTATTTCAGACCTTATCTATCAGGAGAAATTTTTCGAAGATAATATAATCAGATTTTTAAGTTATTCTCTATCGATCAATAAAAACTTTAAAGTCGATACTGGTAGATTAGTTTTGTAATCGAAAGGCCTGTCTAGTAATAACTATTGGGGTTCTAGTTAAGATGAAACACAAAATTTAAAAATTAATCAAAATTGGGAAAAAATGAACACTAAGAGTTTCCCATTATTAATATTATTATTAAATTAAAGGATTATATATTTAATGTGGCATGCAGCCTTACTGTTGACGACTCGTATGATTCGCCAAATGAGGAAAACGATTATGAGCGTGATCTCATCCGAGGCAATGTAGACAAATATGGCGTCTGCTATTAGTGACGCAATAATTATTATCCCGTCTACTATCTAAAAAAAATATAGAAAAAGGTCACTGTTAATGTCACTGTTTGCACGCCATACCAAGTAATGCATTTTTTTTGCCATATTAAAAATATCTCGCCACGTGAAGGAGGGAATACGCTTCAAAAAGTTATGTGAAATGTGCAAATTTCTCTGGCTAACTCCATAGCCAACCTTCAAGAAGGTGACATTCGTTTTATCGATTTCTGCGAAAAATCTTCCAAATTCTCTTGTTTCAAAAAAAATTTAAAAGAAAGGGTTCTCAAAATCATGGCTAAGGGGGTTCTATTTATGCAGTAACATTATTGATTTCGGTTTCTTGGAGCTCAAATACCCAACATAAAGAATCGATAATTGCAAAGTTGGAATCTGTAAGTTGTACGAATGCTTGCAAAAATACAGAGTTGACTCTACGTTACCAACAAGCTCAATGTGTGTAAGTGAATTGATTATCTCTATCTTCAACGACAGAATGTCATCAAAGTCATTAAAAGGACCAAAATAAATATATTTTTTTTCGACCTTGGAGAAGTCAAAATCTTGAAACGAATGGACTAAATTTCTCAACGCTTTCTCACAATGTTGCCCGCTTGTTCAACAGGTCTAAAATACACCCGATTTCAAAATCAATAAATATTTACATTGGAACAACTGAATCTTCCGTCTATTTATTTGCTTTCGGGCCAACAAACGCATATAAAATTGGGTTTATGACAACTTTCGAATTCAGCCCTCCCATTTCATCAGTATATTTACTTTGACAACTCTAATTAATAATATTACCTTTCTTTGGGACCTAGAATACCATTCAACGGATATGCAAACTATCGATTGACATATATATTGGATGTCTGAAAGTTCAAGATGCGGGGACCCTGGAATAGTTAACAAAGTGGAGGCAGACGGAACGCACTGGCAAGATAATTAACCATTTGATGTATTTTCTGTGTGCTGGAAAAGAATGCAACCTGTAATATGACTGCTTTGTGAATTTGTGGACTGTTGGTAATGGAAATCAGCTTCGGCTAACCTTGTGCATAAAAAACCTTGTTCAAATTTAAATTTTCTCAAATGTTATTAAATAAACAAAATATGCTCTTTCATCCGTTCCTGGTAGGGTGCTTTTTGCAATTAGAAGTCGTGCTTTAAGCGGTTAGATAAAAATATTTATGAATTTAATCAATGACTTTTTTGATGATTTTAAAATTGTTCATGAAGAATTCAAAAGGATTGAAAAAATTATTCCTTACCTTTAGGGGCTCGGGTTAAAAAATTCGAAGCACCATTAGAAATCTGAAGTAATGCACCTTCGTTTTCGTCAAGATTACCAGAAGCAAGATTAAACCAACATGAAATTACAATATAATCCATGTTCAAATTATAATTATTTATTTCAGATATCATATAATTATATAATTGCAGACGGATTTTTACCATTAAATTTTTATTTTTACTATAGATCGAACGAGTACCATATGATTGTACTTGTTTCGCGATTAATCAATTAAGTAGAATTTAGAAATATTTGTACTACTAAAGTGGTTGAAGCATTTGAAATTATAGTTTCTGATATTAACTCAGAGAGGTAGGAAGGAAAAGAAGCTGTAATTCAATCGTTAATTCAAAGAATAATAACTTAGTTTTAGCACAAAAATAAATTCATGGTCTCTTATCTTTGAAACTCACCTCGAATTTTAGTCTAAAGAAGGCGCGACCCATACACATAATTTTCACAGCCAATTGGAGTACAAATATGCAAAGAATGGAGATGCTCAAGAAGTGGAGAATGCAGGCGATTGTGTGAAAGAAATGGCAACTACCATAGTCTCCTATAGCTTCTTTGGGATTGTGGAAAAACCTACCGAGTTGAGATAGGCAGCAGGTGAGGTGAGAACAATGCTTGTTAGAGCCTTCATGCCACGGGGAAATGATGGCATGGAAGACAGTAAAAAGTTGCTGGTCCTTTCGACCACAATTTGAGTCAGGTTTGGCTTGACAACAGAGCGCAAAAGGCGAACGAATAGCCTCATACATCACGCTCGATCGATTGAGTTGACAGCAGGTGTCTCGAACAGATGGAAGGAATATTGATTGCGGATCAGAGTTGCTTGTACAATAATATCGAAAGGTTTTTTGAACTTGATGTTCTCGCTCATATTCCAAGGTCTTTTTCTCAGCTGTAGAAAGTGAAATAACATTAGTTCCACATTGATAGCATGAAATTAAAATGAAAAATTATTAATGAAATAAATAAATTTCAATCTACAAGTAAATCAGCTCAACAGTTGGATATTTTTTGCATTTTTTCGCTTCTTTTCATCATCTTTCCAAAATCTGAGTAAAATTTTAAAAGTGTATGTATTCACAGTTATAAGGGACGTTCACTAAACAAAGAACATTCAATCACAACTTTCCACCAGTTCAACGTTTTATGGATCGATTGAAATAAAAAATTCTCGATTAATGAAACACCTTGCTGGCTATTAAGGTGGATCAAAATAGCATATGTCTTTACTAGGAAGCCCGGGCTTCTGATGGACCTAATGTTATGTCATATCTTTTTGTGCATATATTTCTGCCTATTGTCTTTCACTCATAATGGATTTATACAGACCCTCCTCATAATTACTTAAAAATATTTCATTTTTTGAGATTTACTTAATAAATAATATAGATATTTGTGGCATTATGTTCCATATTTTAGAAGAGTCTTTTAAGGACAATTGCACTTTGAATTATTGCAGTTATTTAATATAATCGATAAATAAAACCACAAATAATTGGAATTTCTGATGAGTGTGCATGGGGTAAGGAACAGATTGCCTAATAACCCCCCCCCCTCAAAAAAATAATTACCTAAAAGATCTTGCAAATTCAAAAAAAAATATTTAACGATCAAGGTTTTAATAAAATTCAATATCACGCAAAATTACAAAAACTAAGAGTCAAATATTTTTTTTGCCAGCAAAATACACGACCTTTATAAAATATTTGTTTGTCAACTATTGACTAAAAATATTAAATCCGAAGAAATGCAATGCTGAGAAATTTATGACTTCCTTCACTTTTGAGCGTATTTCTAAATTAAAATAAGAATTTGCAATTGGCTCAATATTTCAATCTATCTCTGAGAAAGTTTGAAATCTCCTTTTACCTACCTTCCATAGTGGAATCTTGAATTGAGTAATAGAAATTGACTCAAATGGTCCCCCCCCCTCAATTGTTGCTGATTAAATAACATTTGCATAAGTCAAGACACTTAAACTCACTTGGTTAGAAATTGTTTAAAACATTTATTTTATTTATAACAAATGGCAGGCGTTTTGATAGTTATCATTAGCTCTTTATTTGACTTTGGGCTTTACAGAGGGGAGGGGGAACATCAAAGTTGGAAGAATTCAGGGGGGGGGGGAATATAAGGGTGTTTCAAAGACGTAAAAGAAACAGACACAAAGGC